TGGGAAAAGGCTTTTCCCTGACGGCGACTTGGACTTCCCCGTTCACGTAGGGACAATTCAGGTGGACTCTGGCGAGAGGGTATGGAGTGGTAGCAGTGAGGTCAGTGATGAAGACTGTTTCCCCGGTGTAGACTATGTTGGGCACAGCCGACTTCAAGATGATCGATTGTAGAGCCGCTGTGTCCCTCAAGATCTTCAATTTGAAACGTCCCTCCGGATTTGAACCGTTGGCAGAGACAGTTCCAGTATACAGGTGGTTACTGAAAAGAGAAAGATCATTAACATCAACACCAACATTCATCACAGGCTTACCGGACTTAGGAGGAGTTGGTTTGGGTCGTTGTTGGTCAGTGGTTCCCTTGTATTGAGACTTACCACACTTGTCTATGGTATGTCCATAGAGTCTACAATATTTGCAGTACAGTTGTGAACCAGCTTGATCGGGGCTCACCTTCTCGTAACTGTACCACGACTTCTTACTGGAGGATGGTTCAGGTGTCAGCCGGTGGATGAGGCTGTAAGTGTCAGCCGACTTAGCACACTTCAGGTAGTCGGTTTCTTCTTTATCTGCTAAGTAGAGGCGGACAGGAGGCGGCACACGTCTCAAGAATTCTTCAACAAGCATCAGGTTCACGAGTTCTGTAAAAGTAGAGACATGTGCTGCTTCCAGCCATTTCATGAAATACCTCCGTTTCGTGTTAGCAAACTCGAGGAAGGTAGTGGTACTTGCCTTCAGGTGGTCACGGAATTTCCTTCTATAACTTTCGGTGGAAAGTAGGTAGGCGTCTAACACTGCTTGTTTCAGAGTGTAGTAGTCATTCTCAGACGCCAAAGTACTGAGTGTGACTGCAGCTCTACCTGTAAGATGGACTCTGAGAAGTGTTGCCCATTGGTCGACAGGCCAACTGAGTTGATTAGCAAGGGTTTCAAAGGTGGTAAAGAACACATCAACTTCTGCTTCTACAAAGGATGGCATTAACTTACTTGCATGTGATATATTAAAACTGACGGGAAGATTGGCAGTAGCTTGTTGGCGTTGAGTGAAGTGTGAAGTTTCCAAGGCGATTTCACGTTGACGACACTCTAGAGCCAGAGTTGCTTGTTGCTTGTCATGTTCGCGTTGTATTTCCAACTCGCGTCGTTTGGTTTCAAGCTGTACTCGTTCCCGCTCCTGGAGTGTTTCAAGCTGTACTCGTTCCCGCTCCTGGAGTAGTGCAACCTCACGTTCCTGGAGGGCGAGTCCACGTTCGTGTTCTTCTCTCCTCAAGGCAGCTTCACGTTCTCTGAGGGTGATTTCTCGTTCTTGTTCTTCCCTCCTCAAAGCAGCTGCTTCCCTTTGCTGCTCACGTTCAATCTTGGCCAGCTCTAGTTTAAGTTTCATCGTTGCCAAGTCAGTTTTCTCTGCAATATAGTAAGTTTCATGAGTTTCAGAGTCTATCTTACCTTGCTCTAAATAGTAATCCAGCAACAGGTTGTGTAGGTCATTTTTGTTGGCTTGGTAGGGAACTTCTAGTTGATACTCATGTGCAAGAGTTTGTAGTTCAGTCCTCTTGGCACGACTTAAAGTCCCTATTTCACCTGCTGGATTTGCACGGAAAGTTTGGAGACGAAACATGGTGAAATTAGCAAATAAAGGTACACGAATGTTCAATAATGAAATGTCAGAAACAGGACAACGTGGCAACTGGTACCTATCCTGTGTGATCTTTAACAATTAACGTTAAGTGAAAGATATTAAATGATTAAATGAAATCAAGGGCGCAGGAAATCTTGTACCCGGTACTCATGTAAGAGAATAAGGGCAAGAAAATCCTACTAACAAATGAAACAAAGTTTCGAAAACAAATGAAACAGTTAAATGCTTCAAAAGTAAAATTGGTAGTCCAAGGATGTAGGCATACCTTGCCAAGTCTCTAGGACATAAAGCAAGTTTTTCCTACTGAATTTAATATGATACTTACAGAATTAGCGAACTTTTGTGCTCTGAAAAAATAAGCTAATTCCCTACCGTTGTATGTATCATCATCTCTGACTGACGTGTAGGGGTGCGAGGTGTCAACTGGTGACGAGAACTGCTGCTGAGGTCCCAATTCAGCAACTAAAGTTCGAGCTAGAGGAACTATGGCCCTCTTTGTCCTCCTACAGTCAGATTGCAGAAGATTGGGTACTCTTGACCCGGGGCAGACCACAGTACCAGGGTACCAATATGATGATCTGTCAGAATGAGAAATATTCAAGGGACATAGATGGTAAATACGAGTAATAACAAGGAGGGAGAGATGACCAATTAAGAGTATGACTGCGGCCTACAGTCACCACGTAATCCAAAGTTGTCTCACCTTCACTATATGTTACTCTCGTAATGCACAATACACCGCACCTTATAAAAAATGAAATTGAATGAAAAATAGTAAAGCTACGTTAACAAAGTTAAATACGCTTACCATGAATTACCACTTAGCACCAGTACCTGAGTGAAGCTCCTAGGACAGGGTCCCCATATAACTTGTGACGGTAACGCGTTGGTGTTCGGCTGTTTAAGGCTAGGTATATGGCCTCGTCACATAGTTATAAAAAAAAATAGAAAAACTGGAACTTCGTCTGTGGTAAGGTAAGGAGAAGACACACAAAACACAAGTAAACTTTAACAATGAAATTTTAATTACGTTAAATAAATCAAAACATGAAAATAATGCACAAACAAATATGTATAATAAAATCAATCAATCAAAATAATAAGAATACTTAAATGACACAATGAAAAGTTACGTTAAGGCAAAATAACAAGAAGTGCAATACAACAGTTAAGTGGGAGGTGCTGGAATATTGGCTTAAAGCCACCACCTCTCTCAGTACACGCTAACGTCTAGCTGGGAGGAGTGCTGGCTACGAAAGCACGGAACATTCTGAGGACTGATGTTGGGGCGACCCCAGACATCAGGTAGTATTGGGGGGCGAGGCAGGTGCAGCCAGACCGGCGACCAATCAGCGGAGCCGTAGCGATCAACGGGTGGTTTGGTGGTTGGAGTTCGAACAGGTGGCTGGTTGCATACGTTTCTGCTCACCCTGGCAAGCCTTGCTGGTGCCTTGTTGTCGTTGTTGGACATTTCTTCCATAGTCTTTTTATATAATTGTGAAGACGTAATTATGGAGGGAAGAGCAGGCTCAATCTCTTGAAGGAGATTATCGTCACACCATACACACGCTTAGCAAACTAATCCATACACACTCTTGGCAAACTAATCCATACACACACCCTTAGCAAACTAATCCATACACACTCTTAGCAAACTAATCCATACACACTCTTAGCAAACTAATCCATACACACTCTTAGCAAACTAATCCATACACACTCTTAGCAAACTAATCCATACACACTCTTAGCAAACTAATCCATACAAACTCTTAGCAAACTAATCCATACACACTCTTAGCAAACTAATCCATACACACTCTTAGCAAACTAATCCATACACACTCTCAGCAAACTAATCCATACACACTCTTAGCAAACTAATCCATACACACTCTTAGCAAACTAATCCATACACTCTTTTAGCAAACTAATCCATACACACTCTTAGCAAACTAATCCATACACACTCTTAGCAAACTAATCCATACACACTTCTCAATACTGCCACATTCCAAGATTTGCACTCTGCCTTACAGGATGATTTTTTTTATTAATGCGTGAGTATCCTAACTTATGTCTCTAAGTTGTTTAGGATTATATATTTGTATGAATCAATAGATGCTTCAATCCATATCTGAAGGAAAACATCCAACTTTATGTACTCATGTTTGCGTTCATTTATGTATTTCTGTAAGCATACATGTAACCATACGTATTTACTTATGTATCCGTGTATGTATGTGTAAGTTTACATGCAAACTTGTTACTCAAACTTTGGAGTGGAGGCAAAACTGTGTGTGAACCACTGAGCCAATGATGTTATCCCCAAACCAAATCTCGTGTTCCCTGGTGTGTGTGTGTGTGTGTGTGTGTGTGTGTGTGTGTGTGTGTGTGTGTGTGTGTGTGTGTGGTGTGTGTGTGTGTGGGTGGTCTGTGTGTGTGTGTGTGTGTGTGTGTGTGTGTGTGTGTGTGTGTGTGTGTGTGTGTGTGTGTGTGTGTGTGTGTGTGTGTGTGTATGTGTGTGTGTGTGTGTGTGTATGTGTGTGTGTGTGTGTGTGTATGTGTGTGTGTGTGTGTGTGTATGTGTGTGTGCGTGTGTGTGTGTGTGTGTGTGTGTGTGTGTGTGTGTGTGTGTTGGGTGTGTGTGTGTGTGTGTGTGTGTGTGTGTGTGTGTGTGTGTGTGTGTGTGTGTGTGTTTCTGTGTGTCTGTGTGTGTGTGTGTGTGTGTGTGTGTGTGTGTGTGTGTGTGTGTGTGTGTGTGTGTGTGTGTGTGTGTGTGTGTGTGTTTTCAGGCCAATAAAAATATCTAAAATTTGGTTTAGGGTTCAGAAAGGCCACCGTTGGTATGGAATTCTGGGCAAATCAGATTTATCTTGGCGAGTCGGGGAAGCTGAGGACTCGTGTCAGAAATGGCTCAGAAAATTTGTTTACTATGCAATAAACAGTTTGAATTGCATTTACGTCTTCCTCTTAAGGTCTCGCTTTTCCTTCCCACAATATTCTTCCTCCAGTCTTTTCTCTCACCTTCCTTACTCTCTTTCCTTGCCTCACTTGCTCCCTCCCCCAATCTTATCGTTCCTATATTCATGTGTTCATTTCATTCTCTCTCACTCTTTCCATTCCCCTCTTTCCCCCCTTTTTCACTTTCTCCTTTATTCCCCCTATTCCACCTTTCTTCCCACAATCCCCCTTTCTTCCCCTCTCCCTTACTTCCACTTCCTTCCCTTAAAACGCTTTCTTCACTTCTCTCCTTCGTTATTTCCTACTTTCTCTTTCTTTCCAATCCTTCCCTCCCACCTTCCTCTCCCACGCTACTTCCCCTTCCGTCCTCCCAGCAGCTCCCCCAGCAGCAGACACTGACCTGGGCAATGAGAGGCGGTCCGGCTTGGAGTGTGATGGAGGCGGGGTCGCCGTGGACAGCAAACTCCAGATGCTGGCCGCCTTCAGGAGAGACGTGTAAGATGAGCTTGCCCTCCCTACTGATGTCGAAGTCCGCGGGGACGATGGACGGGTGCTGCGACACCTGCTTCTTCAGCTCCTTCAGCGACTCCTGCAACACATCGAGCACATGCGGGTCATAAATATAGAAATATCCTGTAACATTTTTATAGGTGCAGAGATTTAAAAGTTATATTTTACAGTTATCACAAGTCGAGCCTGGCCTCAGGGCGGGTTCGAGGAGTAGAAGAACTCCCAGAACCCTCTCCAGGTATGCTCCAAGTATGCTCCAGGTATGCTCCAAGTATGCTCCAGGTATGCTCCAGGATCATATACACGGCTGGCATTAGACTAAAATATGCACCGAACACAAACACGAGATATACCTAAATCGAAAACCAAGAAACTGTATTAAACATGTATATATTCGAGCTACTTATATATACTGTCATGGTCACCACATAGCTTGCGAGAAGACTGACCTGCCCTCGACAAGCGTGCGCTCCCCATATGTAAAATGTACATAACACGACATTCATTAGGTACATGTGAGGAGAAAATACAACAATCATCCTCTTTCCTTCTTCCCCCTATCCCGTTTTCTTCCCACAATCCCCTCTTTTTCCCTCTCTCCATTTCTTCCACCTCCTTACTCTATGTTTGATAACCCCCGGAAGGGGTTAGGATGTGGTTTTGGGATAGGAAGGGGGGAATGGAATTGTGCCCAACCACTTGGACGGTCAGGGATCAAACGGCGACCTGCATGAAGCGAGACCGTCGCTCTATCGTCCAGCCCACCCTAAATATACAGAGGATAACGATTTCAATACCTTGCCTACACTCAAATCCAGACTTTACCACACACAGCACTGGATAACATCATCTCTGGTTGATACCTGGTTGATGGGGTTCTGGGAGTTGTTCTACTCCCCAAGCCCGGCCCGAGGCCAGGTTCGACTCTACCCAGTTCTCGCCCACCGTCTTACCGCTTGACTAGCATCCTTCCCCATTATTTTCCCATTTCTTTACGTGTTATTTAAGATAAATTTGCACTTGTATATTCCTTCCTCATCTGAAGATGTTCCAGAGTAAAGTGAAACGTCTCAGAAATATAAATTCTTCAGTAAGTTTCTTTACCGTATGACTCATATACCGTATGGCTGTGACTCATACTGTGACGTATGAGTCACAGCCTGGTTGATCAGGTATCATTTGGAGATGTTTATCAAGTTCTCACAGTATTGAAGAGAGAGAACTTGACAAACATCTCCAAAGGATACCTGATCAACCAGGCTGTGACTCATACGTCAGGCTGCGAGCAGCCGCGTCCAACAGCCTGGTTGATCAGTCCAGTAACCAGGAGGCCTGGTCGACGACCGGGCCACGGGGACGCTGAGTCCCGGAATCACCTGAAGGTAACCTCACGGTAACCGTGTGAATTTCCTCAACTATATTACTCTTCTTAATTCCGAGAGGAAAGAAATAGGTGGTTTGGCACCTCCAGAACCTCCCAGAGAGCCCAGTAGATTTCGTGACCCAGTCAGTTAAGCCAGACGTCTGGGAATCCCAAAGTCGTAAGTTCGAGTCACTCCATTGCATCAAAATAATTTTCATTAATATATCACACTTATATTTAATAATTGTCATTATATATATATATATATATATATATATATATATATATATATATATATATATATATATATATATATATATATATATATATGCATGCGAAAAAACAGAACGAATTCTGAAAGTAGCTGTAACGTTGTCAACTCATCAAGTATTCATCTGCTGATGAACACTTGAATATTACAAGTGTTTTTCCAATTCACGGTTGCATAATCCTATTTATAAATTACCAATTCATATAATCAATATAATTTTATTTGAAATGCTTTCATATATGACTTTATAACGTTAATATTATACAAAAATAATAGTCAATAACAATTAGTCTATAATTAAGTTTAAAGCGAGTTCCAATTCTATTCATCGTTGCATTTGTAATACCATTTTGAAAGATAATCCTGATTCACGAATCCAAATGTAATCACCCAGTGGTGTAGCGTCCATCATGCCTAATCCAACTCTATTACCAGCGTTCTATGACGATAAAAAGATTACCAAAGTTGATTACAGTACAAGGACTGGAAGGACGAGATCCGGCACTTTGCTATCGAGCACGCCTCGGGAGACACCGTGGAGAGGTGTACCTTGTGTAGCATCCAGGGATAAACGGCCCCACGGCCCGGTCTCCGACGTATGAATCACAACCTGGTTGATTAAATTCCCTTTTGAGTTTTTTTTTGCAGGGATATTTCTGCGCGGGCCCAAAGCCTCTGGCTGGCCCACTGTGCGGACCCTAAGCCTCTGGCTGGCCCACTGTGCGGACCCTAAGCCTCTGGCTGGCCCACTGTGCGGGCCCTAAGCCTCTGGCTGGCCCACTGTGCGGACCCTAAGCCTCTGGCTGGCCCACTGTGCGGACCCTAAGCCTCTGGCTGGCCCACTGTGCGGGCCCTAAGCCTCTGGCTGGCCCACTGGGCGGACCCTAAGCCTCTGGCTGGCCCACTGGGCGGACCCTAAGCCTCTGGCTGGCCCACTGGGCGGACCCTAAGCTTCTGGCTGGCCCACTGGGCGGGCCCTAAGCCTCTGGCTGGCCCACTGGGCGGACCCTAAGCCTCTGGCTGGCCCACTGTGCGGACCCTAAGCCTCTGGCTGGCCCACTGGGCGGGCCCTAAGCCTCTGGCTGGCCCACTGGGCGGACCCTAAGCCTCTGGCTGGCCCACTGGGCGGACCCTAAGCCTCTGGCTGGCCCACTGGGCGGACCCTAAGCCTCTGGCTGGCCCACTGGGCGGGCCGTAAGCCTCTGGCTGGCCCACTGGGCGGACCCTAAGCCTCTGGCTGACCCACTAAGTGTTGCTTGTATCTGTTTTACTTGGGCGGAGTATGAGTATTTATGACTCGTATGGTCGCTTCAGGAAGATTTTGTCCCACGTGTTTAACAACTTCTTCTCTGTTGAATCTTAGTTGAAATCTTAGTGGGTTTGTAACTGCACTGTGAAAGAGATACATAATAATGTACACGTGGAAGCTATTCCCTCTCACTACCCTCCATAAAAACCCTCCATCAAAAGGAATACCTTAAGCATTACCCCGGCGCACGAAGCCATACAATACACACACAACAAAAATATAAGACACATTTATGAGGCGGCTTTGAGTGCACGCACACCAGCGAGGACGAGAGGCACTCGCTGCACTCCACACAGCACGCCGAGTCCCCTTCAATGTGCACTATTTACAACTACGAAATAATACAACTCCATCTTCGCAGAGTTACGACACTGGAGTGGATCTTACATTCCTTCTCCGTGGCACCCTTTCCACGGAGGGTGCTTCCGTCCCTCCCCTCCCCTCCCCTTACACCAAGGCTCACCCCCTCCCCCCATCCTTTCCACCTCTCCCTGTCAATTTGGAAGCTCTAAAACTCAATGAGGGATTAACTGGATGATGCCAACGTGTACCAGACAAGTATGTCCTGGCATTAAACCATTATCTTACACGAGAACAAGAATAGACGAAACTTTGCAATTTACTATAGATTTACCTTGAGGCGGCTCCGGGGATCAATGTCCTTGCGGCCCCGGTCTTTGACCTGGCCTTCTGGTACAACCTGTTATCAGACCAAGTCCATTCTATCCAGCGGTCGACCCCAAAGACGCATTCATCAATTTTAATATTCCGTTCATTCAAAACAGAACTTTTCTCGAATATAAAATATTATTATATATTAGCATATTGTGCAAATTTAGGTACTGGTTAGGTTAGGTTAGGTTAGGTGTTTAGATTCTCTTGGCGATTATTTGTATTTGTAGTACGTGGGTGAAGCATTTACAGCGTTGTGGTTCGAACACAAGTCGTCAGCTACTTGTTCGGGAAGTGTTCGGACGTCATCAGTTGTAAGTCGTGTGTAAACCGTTTTTCATTCATAAACATCGGGTTTGGCGGGTGGATGGAATGGTCTTTGTTTAGAAGACGGGCTGCCTGGTAGATGGTCTGGGCAACCAGACTGTTAAAATCCCTGCACGTAGTCTGATGTATGAATCACAGCCCGATTGATCAAGTATCATTTCGAGGTGTTCACCAAGTTCTCTCTTAAACCCCTGAGAGGAGTAGGCCAGTTATGTCCCTTATGTGTAGTGGAAGCGTGTTGAACAGTCTCGGGCCTCTGATGTTGATAGTTCTCTCTTGAACACTGAGTGGTCGGCCAGTTATGTCCCTTATGTGTAGTGGAAGCGTGTTGAACAGTCTCGGGCCTCTGATGTTGATAGTTCTCTCTTGAACACTGTGAGGGGTCGGCCAGTTATGCCCCTTATGTGTAGTGGAAGCGTGTTGAACAGTCTCGGGCCTCTGATGTTGATAGTTCTCTCTTGAACACTGTGAGGGGTCGGCCAGTTATGTCCCTTATGTGTAGTGGAAGCGTGTTGAACAGTCTCTGGCCTCTGATGTTGATAGAGTTCTCTCTCAGAGTACCTGCTGCACCTCTGCTCTTCAACGGGGGTATTCTGCACATCCTGCCATGCCTCCTGGTCTCATGTGATGCTATTTCTGTGTGCAGGTTTGGGACCAGCCCCTCTGCTATTTCTCACGTGTAAATTATTTTATCTCTGGCTTGCGCTCAAGAGAATACATACTCAGAACCTTTAAGTGGTCCCATCCATGGTCTCATCTGTCGAAAGCTTTTGTGGAAATCTGTATATAGTGGCTCGATCTCCGCTGTTTTGTGTGTCGGGGGATAATATTAATATCCCTTTCGCTAACTTTTGAAGAACAGGATAAAAAAAAAGTATCCAGGCTCCGTCTCCAAAATATAGAATAGAACCAGTGAAGAGCAGAGGTGCCATAGGCACAATCAGAGAACACTGTATAAACATCAGAGGTCCACGGCTGTTCAACGTCCTCCCAGCAAGCATAAGAAATATTGCCGGAACAACAGTGGACATCTTCAAGAGAAAACTAGATCATTTTCTCCAAGGAGTGCCGGACCAACCGGGCTGTGGTGGGTATGTGGGCCTGCGGGCCGCTGCAAGCAATAGCCTGGTGGACCAAACTCTCCCAAGTCAAGCCTGGCCTCGGGCCGGGCTTGGGGAGTAGAACAAATCCCAGAACCCCATCAACCAGGTATCAACTAGGTTCATTCCAGTACGTTGTTATTTTACTGTGTAGATTCGGTACTTGGCCCTCTATAATCTTCCACATGTATATTATTTGATATCTCTCTCGTCTTCTTTGTAGTGACTACATTTGGAAAGCTTTGAGACGGTCCCAATAATTTCGGTGCTTTATTGCGTCTATGTATGCCGTAACTTGGTCCTTCTTTTCCAAAGAACAGACCATAATCAATAATATACAACAAAAAATAGAGTTCCTATTAAAACGTTACGGCAAAAAGTATGTACAACTCATCACCAGCGAGGATCAAGAGAACTTTCTTCCATACCCGCTGAAGGGGGGGGGGGGTTCCCTCCCCTGGTTCCCAGCGCCAGCACACACACCCAGATGGACATAATTCGAATCTAATTTTTCCTCTTCGATAATAAAAATTACCCGGGGAATTCATTTTAAAATTATTGTGGTTAGCCTACGCAAGACAACTCTGCGCGTCACCACCACACAAGACAGATTTCTAGGAGTGATCTTGTGAGGGTAGGAAGGAACGAGACGAAACAGGTCAACTCTTGTGACCAAAACATGACCCATCGACCCAGCTGGTGAAGAAGCGAGACTTGCTCAACTTCACGTCAGACACGAGGGAACATTTTGGTTTTGAAAAACGCGTCTCGCGTTCCCCGAACATCAAAAGCCACTTCCATCTAGGTAGCGGAGACATCGCTCTTCACTGTATCATGGGGCATCGGCCGTGATGGCAAGGTGAGGTGGAATAAAGAGAAAAAGAGAGGGAGAGAAAAAGAGAGGGAGAGAAAAAGGAGAGGATAGGTGGAGGTAGGAGAGGAAGAGGGAGAGAGAGGATGCATGCATCCTCGTCGTCACAACTGCAAGAAAAATGACAGGTTGGATAACAAGAACTTTTCACACTAGAGATGCTATACCGATGATGATACTCTTCAAGACGCTAGTGCTCTCTAGAGTGGAATACTGCTGCACAATGACAGCCCCTTTCCAAGCTGGAGAAATTGCTGACCTGGAGAGCGTGCAGAGATCCTTTACTGCTAGAATCCACTCAGTAAAACATTTAAACTATTGGGACCGACTAAAGAGCCTAAATCTGTACTCCCTTGAGCACAGGCGGGAGAGATACATAATAATTAACACGTGGAAAATAGTAGAGGGGCTGGTCCCAAACCTGCACACAGAAATAACACCACATGAGACCAGGAGGCATGGCAGGATGTGCAGAATACCCCCGTTGAAGAACAGAGGTGCAACAGGTACTCTGAGAGAGAACTATCAACATCAGAGGCCCGAGACTGTTCAACACGCTTCCACTACACATAAGGGGCATAACTGGCCGACCCCTCACAGTGTTCAAGAGAGAACTATCAACATTTCATACAAGACACATTTGTGGCCATTGTTATTTTATTTCACCACAACTATATAGATACACACACACACGGGGGCCTCGTAGCCTGGTGGATAGTGCGCAGGACTCGTAATTCTGTGGCGCGGGTTCGATTCCCGCACGAGGCAGAAACAAATGGGCAAAGTTTCTTTCACCCTGAATGCCCGTGTTACCTAGCAGTAAATAGGTACCTAGGAGTTAGTCAGATGTCACGGGCTGCTTCCTGGGATGTGTGTGTGGTGTGGAAAAAAAAGTAGTTAGTAAACAGTTGATTGACAGTTGAGAGGCGGGCCGAAAGAGCTCAACCCCCGCAAACACAACTAGGTGAATACACCCACACAAATCACAATAACGCGATATATCAATGAACAAATCCACAACATCCACATCCATCGCGTAGGTTATGTACGCCTATCAAATATATTTATATTAATTATAATCAATCAATTGGACCGGGGGGATATCTGTCACATAACTTCCTAACTTATTAATAGATACAACTGCACAGGCAATTCTCGTCTGCATCACTTATAAAAACGTTAAGTAAATTGTTGATAATCTACCCCAGGACTCGCTTGTATGTGGTCTTAAATACAACCCCATCCACTAGGACTCATACATATGTTGTCTGAAATACCAACACACACCTACCCCAGGACACACCCCTGGTTGATGGGCTTCTGGGAGTTCTTCTACTCCCCAAGCCCGGCCCGAGGCCAGGCTTGACTTGTGAGAGTTTGGTCCACCAGGCTGTTGCTTGGAGCGGCCCGCAGGCCCACATACCCACCACAGCCCGGTTGGTCCGGCACTCCTTGGAGGAAACAGTCTAGTTTCCTCTTGAAGATGTCCACGGTTGTTCCGGCAATATGTACTATACTCGCTGGGAGGACGTTGAACAACCGTGGACCTCTGATCTTTATACAGTGTTCTCTGATTGTGCCTATGGCACCTCTGCTCTTCACTGGTTCTATTCTGCATTTTCTTCCATATCGTCCACTCCAGTATGTTGTTATTTTACTGTGTAGATTTGGTACTTGGCCCTCCAGTATTTTCCAGGTGTATATTTGTTATCTCTCTCGTCTTCTTTCTAAAGAGTACATCTGGAGAGCTTTGAGACGATCCCAATAATTTAGATGTTTTATCGCGTCTATGTTCTCTGTATTTCCTCTATTTCAGCAATCTCTCCTGCTCTGAAGGGGAAAGTGAGTACTGAGCAGTACTCGAGACGGGACAGCACAAGTGACTTGAAGAGTACAACCTTTGTGATGGGATCCCTGGATTTAAAAATTCTCGTAATCCATCTTATCATTTTTCTGGCTGACGCAAAATTTGCTTGGTTATGCTCCCTAAACGCTAGGTCGTCAGACATCATTATTCCCAAATCCTTCACATGTTGCTCTCCATGGGCACATTTGACTGTGTTTTGTACTTTGTATTATGTTTACGGTCCTCATTTTTACCGTACCTGAGTACCTGGAATTTATCACTGTTAAACATCATGTTATTGTCTGCTGCCCAGTCCCTAGTTCTGCTGCCTCCCAAGTGACCCCCACCTACTCTACACCCCAGGACACACCCCCTAAGTGACCCCCACCTACTCTACACCCCAGGACACACCCCTAAGTGACCCCACCTACTCTACACCCCAGGACACACCCCTAAGTGACCCCACCTACTCTACACCCCAGGACACACCCCTAAGTGACCCCACCTACTCTACACCCCAGGACACACCCCTAAGTGACCCCACCTACTCTACACCCCAGGACACACCCCTAAGTGACCCCACCTACTCAACACCCCAGGACACACCCCTAAGTGACCCCACCTACTCTACACCCCAGGACACACCCCTAAGTGACCCCACCTACTCTACACCCCAGGACACACCCCTAAGTGACCCCACCTACTCTACACCCCAGGACACACCCCTAAGTGACCCCACCTACTCTACACCCCCAGGACACACCCCCAAGTGACCCCACCTACTCTACACCCCAGGACACACCCCCTAAGTGACCCCACCTACTCTACACCCCCAGGACACACCCCCAAGTGACCCCCACCTACTCTACACCCCAGGACACACCCCTAAGTGACCCCACCTATTCTACACCCCAGGACACACCCCTAAGTGACCCCCACCTACTCTACACCCCAGGACACACCCCTAAGTGACCCCACCTACTCTACACCCCAGGACACACCCCCAAGTGACCCCACCTACTCTACACCCCAGGACACACCCCCTAAGTGACCCCCACCTACTCTACACCCCCAGGACACACCCCTAAGTGACCCCACCTACTCTACACCCCCAGGACACACCCCTAAGTGACCCCACCTACTCTACACCCCCAGGACACACCCCCAAGTGACCCCACCTACTCTACACCCCAGGACACACCCCTAAGTGACCCCCACCTACTCTACACCCCCAGGACACACCCCCTAAGTGACCCCACCTACTCTACACCCCCAGGACACACCCCCTAAGTGACCCCACCTACTCTACACCCCCAGGACACACCCCTAAGTGACCCCACCTACTCTACACCCCAGGACACACCCCCTATGTGACCCCACCTACTCTACACCCCCAGGACACACCCCTAAGTGACCCCACCTACTCTACACCCCAGGACACACCCCCTAAGTGACCCCACCTACTCTACACCCCCAGGACACACCCCCAAGTGACCCCACCTACTCTACACCCCCAGGACACACCCCTAAGTGTCCCCCCACCTACGCTACACCCCAGGACACACCCCTAAGTGACCCCACCTACTCTACACCCCAGGACACACCCCTAAGTGACCCCCACCTACGCTACACCCCAGGACACACCCCCAAGTGACCCCACCTACTCTACACCCCCAGGACACACCCCCTAAGTGACCCCACCTACTCTACACCCCCAGGACACACCCCTAAGTGACCCCACCTACTCTACACCCCAGGACACACCCCCTATGTGACCCCACCTACTCTACACCCCCAGGACACACCCCTAAGTGACCCCACCTACTCTACACCCCAGGACACACCCCTAAGTGACCCCACCTACTCTACACCCCCAGGACACACCCCCAAGTGACCCCACCTACTCTACACCCCCAGGACACACCCCTAAGTGACCCCCCACCTACTCTACACCCCAGGACACACCCCTAAGTGACCCCCACCTACGCTACACCCCAGGACACACCTGTATGTTTATGATGCCCCTGAAGACGGGACTCTCGAGGACGGAGATGAGGGTGTTGAGGTCATTGCTACACTGGTCCGAGAGCTTAGTCTCGTCCGTCTCCTTCATGGACCGCTGGATACGCTCCAGAAGAGACAGGGCCGCCGAGGTATCTGTCAAGAGAAAGACACACCTGGTTAATCACCTTGCCAAACAACAACAGTAAAATTCGAATGTATAATAAACTACAATGCATATTACACTAAAATATGTTATACAACTGATATCCTGGTCAGTGACCGGGCCGTTGATCCCCGGAAGGAAGATAGCCTTATCCTAATGTTTGTTATGCAACTACCCCTCTACCTTGAGATTATCTTGAGGTTATCTTGAGATGATTTCGGGGCTCTAGTGTCCCCGCGGCCCGGTCCTCGACCAGGCCTCCACCCCCAGGAAGCAGCCCGTGACAGCTAACACCCAGGTACCTATTTTACTGTTAGGTAATAGGGGCAAAGGGTGAAAGAAACGCTGCCCATCGTTTCTCGCCGGCGCCCGGGATCGAACCCGGGACCACAGGATCACAAGTCCAGTGTGCTCTCCGCTCGGCCTACCGGCTCCCTTATACCTCATACCTTATACCTTATACCTTGCGTTGGTTCAGATCATCAATCAGGATTTTCAAGAGAGTAGACAATATAGAGGACACATCAAACTTCCAATCTGATGTAAATCTGGTCTTTCAAGTGACCGCAGATAATAATATGATTAATAAAGAAAAGTTATGGTAAAAATGAAAATATCAAAACGGAACCCATACATAAATCGCAGTCAAATTATACTATAGAACGAATAGGCATTGTCAAGGATCTGGAAGTAATCATGTGGGGTCACAAATGAACAAATCCACAAGTGCCGTGACGAGGATTCGAACCTGCGTCCAAGAGCATCCTAGAGCATGTGAGCATGTGAGCATGTGGGGTCACAAGTTACCAGAGTCACTAGCTTGGCCGCACGGGGTCAATTGTTGCCAATTAGCAGTTGCATCGTTTCGATATCATTTACGTTTCATTTTGAAATTTCATTTTGAAGAAAAAGTTATTAGGGTTCCTAAGTTACAAGGGGGAAAAAGGCCATATAAGTGGCCTTCACCACCACCACAGTGGAACCCTGCTATCTATCCTGGGACCCTGCTATCTATCCTGGGACCCTGCTATCTATCCTGGGGACCCTGCTATCCATCCTGGGAACCCTGCTATCCATCCTGGGGACCCTGCTATCCTGGGACCTTCCTATCCATCCTAGGCCTATAATAAATGACCTGTGTATTTCAGCGTGAGGCTAAGAGGAAAGCAACAGTCTAGTTGATCGCAACAGGCTGAAGTGGGATGCCTGCCTAATGAACGTACCCGGGAATGACCTGTGGAGGATTTCCAGAGTTCACCTACCGCAGGTAAGTGATGTAAGTTCACCTCTTACATCACAGTGACGCGTTAAGCAAACTTACTGGCTTCTCTGGTTTTCCCCTCGTCCTCCCCTTCCCCTCACCCTGCTTCGACTCCCCTCAGCGAAGGTAATCTCACGCCTCGTGAGCAGTTCAACCTGCCTTTAAGACGCCCTCGCCCCTCCTTCGCCCCTCGCCCCCCCCCCCGCGTGCTGGAACTCTTTTGAAACAACAAGGTAAAACACGCTCTTGGAACAGCCTAAGGAGGCAATGGACTCCCGAGTCCGGGCTCAGGGCGGAGAGTCCGGGGGCCCAGGGCGGAGAGTCCAGGGGCCCAGGGCGGAGAGTCCAGGGGGCCCCAGGGTGGAGAGTCCAGGGGGCCCAGGGCGGAGAGTCCAGGGGGCCCCAGGGCGGAGAGTCCAGGGGGCCCCAGGGCGGAGAGTCCAGGGGGCCCCAGGGCGGAGAGTCCAGGGGGCCCCAGGGCGGAGAGTCCAGTGGGCCCCAGGGCGGAGAGTCCAGGGGGCCCAGGGCGGAGAGTCCAGGGGGCCCCAGGGCGGAGAGTCCAGGGGGCCCCAGGGCGGAGAGTCCAGTGGGCCCCAGGGCGGAGAGTCCAGTGGGCCCCAGGGCGGAGAGTCCAAGGGGCCCAGGGCGGAGAGTCCAAGGGGCCCAGGGCGGAGAGTCCAGGGAGACCAGGGCGGAGAGTCCAGTGAGCCCCAGGGCGGAGAGTCCAAGGGGCCCAGGGCGGAGAGTCCAGGGAGCCCAGGGCGGAGAGTCCTGGGGGCCCAGGGCGGAGAGTCCAAGGGGCCCAGGGCGGAGAGTCCAGGGAGCCCAGGGCGGAGAGTCCTGGGGGCCCAGGGCGGAGAGTCCAAGGGGCCCAGGGCGGAGAGTCCGGGCCCAAGGGGAAAATTGGGGCCTTAATATTGACGTAGACTCCTAAAGGGATTGCCCTGAGACCCCTCCGATACCCCTCCCCCCCCCCTCTCGGGTTCATTTATGGTAATGAAGATAAGGTCGGAAGTCGTTGGTTCAGGTCAAAAGGAAGGGGAAGGGGGGGGGGCGGAAGGAAGGGGGGCTGGTAGAGAAGGGGAGGAAAGGGGAGGAGGGGATACCTTGGTAGTGGAGGAAAGGGAGGGTGGGAGAACCAACGTAGGGTAACCGCTTGCTGGTTTACCTGTGGCTACCTTACCTTGAGGTTGCCTTGAGGTG